ACAAACTTGTCGGTTTTAATTCTCTAAAAAAAATATTAACACAGCCATGAGTACTGAGCGACGTAGCTATAGGTAAGTACTGTTGACAAGGACAATAAGCTGGTGTCCAAATTCTCGTACACGGTTGAAAATCCTCTGAAAACGCTGTGCTTGGTTCGCTCCGGATCATATTTCGCAGTGAAAGTAGATGGATACATAATATAATACACGTGATTACATGTAATGCAAACAATTCTTATTAAAAGAAAAAACAATAATAGAATTCTTTATATTACAGTAGCAAGCAAAACCTCCGTATACAGTACAACGCAGCCATAACAGAAAGAAAAACCCGTTACCAATCACAACATCATGTGAACTGCACGCAGGCGGGTTTGAACCCTACCCGATCGCGTAGGAGGGTCAAGCAAGCCAGATTCCAGGACCCACAAACTTGATTCTTCAAAGTCAAACAATTTGTTCGTTGTACAACACATAGGCTTTCTAAACGAATATAACACACAAGCAGTGTTGTATTCATTTACAGCACATATGCCTTATATGCGGGGTAAGACGGTAGTACAATATTACTGGCTGCTGACCATTTTGTAAAAAAAAGTTAGTTTAAAAAAATATGACGATAAAATATAACTGTAAACGTGCTTAATTGCAATAACCTATCTGACTACCGTAAACTTTCACTTTGCGTCACTTGGACTGCATCCTGATACACTGACATACTGCAGGCTGGAAAGATAGCTGCTCAATCATGTCGTCGGCTGCGCCCGAGAGCGACAGCCAGGAGACCAAGGTACGCGCTCTACCTCCACCCTCGTTTCTCCGTCTCCATACGTTGCAATCCCCATTCCAAACTACGCTCATCGCGTCGAGAAATCAGCAAAGACGTCATGCTAATCAAAGCCTATTCCAACAATCATATCCTAACTTTTTATTTCTAACACAGGAGCCAACAACACCGCAGGAGCCACTGCTCAAGTACGAGCGCGTTGGCGGGCACTTCCACGCCATCTTCAAGGACGATTCGCTCAGCTGCATCGCTCTGCACGTCAACTTTGCATGTGCTGGAACGTACGGAGGCAACGTGCTGCTCTTGGAGCTGGATGGCCGATTCATCCGTCGCCTCCACCAACACTACAAGAAAGTGAACCAAGTGTGCATCGATGAAACCGGCCAGGTACTGATCGAGCCGCAAGGTTGAGGCTTACAATCTCGAGGCTTCTAACGTTCTTTTTGGGATGCTAGTTTATCGCTTCTTGCTCGGACGACGGCACCGTGGCCGTGTATACACTATTTCCATTTGCTGGCGCTTCTGGGGCTAGTGACATCAGCGGAAACAAACACGCCAGCAACCAGAACAAAGAGAAGGCGAGGCAGGTCGCCGTGTCCAGTACCGGGGGTGAGGTGAACATCTACAACTACTTCAGCGCTGTATACGCCGTGCAACTGGAAGACAGATACGCCATGAAACGAGACAAGAGTTTCGCGTGCGGCGGAGTGGGTGGGCAGCTGATTATCAACAAGAAAGGCTGGATCATCGACAAGGAGAGCACGGTACACGAGGGCGAAGGTCCCGTGCAGCTTATTCGCTGGAAAGACGGCCTGGTAGCGTGGGCTAACGACTGGGGAGTCAAGGTCTACGACTCGGAGAACGACCAGCGCATCACGTACATCGAACGCCCGCCTAATTGTCCGCCTATGGAGCTCTGTCGATGTCATCTGGAGTGGCAAAGCAACGACGTGCTGCTTGTTGCATGGGCCCACACCTTACGAGTAGTGACGTTCAAGAAAGGGCAGTCAGAGCAGCCTGCGTCACCCACTTCAGCTGCTGCGCTGGACGCCGTGGAACTTCAATCGGGTACCGTAACAGCGGAAGTGGTGGCTCTACTGACGTTCGATTTCTTTGTCGCTGGGATCAGTCCATGGGGTGGCGGCTCCGTCGTGTCTGTGCTGGCCTTCCGTCCTCCAGGATCTGGAGTTTCCACTGGACCACCGACATCCAAGTCTGCGAGAATTGAAGGTGAAGGCGAGAGTGGAGAGATGCCATATCCTGAGGTGCATGTGGTGCGTCTGGACGGCAAACAAGTGAGTGCCGATCTACTGAACCTTAGGGGATACCAGCGACTACGTGCGTCCGATTACATGATGCCAACGCTTCGCTACGCTCACACACATCCGTCGGATTTTGAGTCCACCGACCCGTCTTCGATCTATGACGCTGGATACGGACAGCTCGCCTACGTCTGCACCCCGAAAGACGTCGTTATCTGTCGCTTACGTGACGCTGATGACCGTGTGGAGTGGGCGTTGGCGAGGAAACAGTACGATCGAGCTCTGGACGTGGCTCTGCATGACCCTCAAGCTCTTCGACGTGTGGTGCTTGCAGATGTTATGGAGACGTATCTGGGAGATTTATTGCGTCAGAAAGCATTTCAGAAAACTGCTGAGGAGATTCATCGTCTCTTTATCGGCGGAGGAGAAGACTACGCTAAACTATGGGAGAAGTATGTGTACGTGTTCGCTCAGAGAGGCCAACTGAGTGCCATTGCACGCTTCATGCCGACAGCTAGTCCACGGCTGCCCAAGGTGCAGTACGAGATGGTGCTCAAGCACTTTCTAGACTCCGATGCAGGCCAACTACTGGAACTGATCCGGAAATGGCCCAAACCAAGACGACAGGACACGCCAGCAGTGAAGCAGCAGGCCGAGAGCGACAACTCTGTTGCACCCGAGTACACTGAGACGACGCACGTGTTTGAGCCGTTGTACGACGCCCAGGCGTGGATTAACCAGCTCGAAACGGTGGTCAGACGACGACGCATTGCCGAGGCGGACGCAGAACGTCTCAGCGTCGAGACGATGTACTTGATGGAGGCGCTTGCAGAGCTGTACACCGCGACGGAGCAGTACGACCACGCGCTCCGTATCTACTTGAGTCAAGGCGAGTTCTGCTCCAACAAGGACTTTGCCTTCAAGCTCATCACGGAGCATCAGTTGTGGTCGCTGGTAGCTAACAAGGTGGCGAACCTCATGAGGATCGACAAGGCCATCGCAGTGCGGATGCTGGTGAACCAGACGGAGCAGCTCAAGATCAGCGACATTGTGACGCAGTTGGAGGGCGAACCGGAGCTGTTGCACACGTATCTACACGAACTGGTGCTGCATCGCTTGAGCGAGTACAACTCGGAGATCTACTCGGCGTTGCATGAGAAGCAGGTCGCGCTGTATGCCGAATACGCGCCAGATTTCCTGCTCAAGTTCCTGCAGACTAGCAACTTTGTGCCGCTGGAGAAGGTAAGTGAATGTGTCGTTATTTGCATCGAGCTAGTAGGTTTTGTACTAATTGTTATGCCTTTCTTCTGTCCTTCTCACTAGGCCTACAAGTACTGTAGCGAGCATTCTCCTCCGCTGTGGGACACGATGATTTACATTCTGGGTCGCATGGGGCAGCACAAGAAGGCGCTGGATCTCATCTTAACGCAACGTGGAGACATCAACCAGGCGATCCAGTTTGTTCAGGAGCACGACGAAGGTTTGTGGGACTACCTCATCGACCTGAGCTTGACCAGCAAGGACAACGTCGAGCAGCTGCTGAAGTTCGCCTCGCAACACAAAATCGACCCTATCAAGCTTATTCGAAAGGCACGTTTGCGTGTAAAATTACGCTTAAAACTGTACGCGTATCTAACGTTCATAATGATGAACAGATCCCTGACGACATGGAGATCGAGAACCTCAAGCAGAAATTAATCGCCATCATCATCAACTACCGCGTCCAGGTGCGCAGTACTGCAGTGAATTATTATCGGTACGACGTGGTCGTTCTCACGCTATTGTTTGTACCTAGCAAAACTTGTGTATCGGCTCTCGCAAGGTGTTCGACAACGATCGCGTGGAGCTTCTGCACCGTCAAGTGGCGGCTCATAAGCGCGGACGGCGAGTGGCAGCCAAGAAGGCGTGTGCGATCTGCAGCGAGTTGCTACGTGCGCCGTCGTCCGGCATGGAGACAGTCCACGCGTGTGTGTTTGAGTGCGGCCACTGCTACCATTTGCCTTGTCTCGAGGACAAGATGCGCATGTGGAAGAGCGCGCAGGCGGTGGAATCGGGCGACTTGAATCGCACGCTGGGCTGCTTCGTGTGCGACCACAGCACACGCGCGTACGCTCGTTCAGGGGACTTGAACCAGCAGCTTGCATCGTTGACGGCGCCACTGGCGCGAGGAGTCACGGAAGACCAGCTGCAGAAGGCCAAGGACAATTTGCTGACCATGGCAAGCGTAGCCGAGTAAGAAAATAGTGAGTATGTGTAAGGACCGCGGCCTGCTGCTGGAGAATAAAAATGTCAGGTCTGATAGCCAACGTCCAAGCTGTACTGTAGTGGTGCTGCATGAAACCTGTATGATCTGGGCTCTGCGCAAAACCACAAGGAGCGAGTGTGTTGAAGTCCCCAAATTCGCATGATATTTTATTTATCGGGCTGGACGCCCCGAGAAACAAAGTCGGAAGTTGGCTGCCCACGCATCGCGAAATGATCCTGTTGCCTGCATCTCTCGACTGCACGTAGCTCCATCCAACCTAAAAAAGACCCAGAGATCCGAGTCGTAGCAATCCACAATTGTTCGCTACGCTTACTCCTCGTCCTCCTCGCCGCCGGCGGCAGCGCGCTGAGCAGCACGACGACGGGCGACACGGCCGGGGCGGCCCTGGCCGTAAGGCGACGTGACGGCAAAGTCAATGTGCTTCTCCGAGTCCATGCGCACGAGGAACGAGGGCACGTCCACGAGCTGCTTGCCCACGCGGATGTGGCGCTGCTTGATCAGCACTCGGGCGTGGTGGATGGACTTGGCCAGGTTCTGCTTGAAGACCTTGGTCTGAAGACGACGCTCCAGCAGCTTCTGCACGTTCAGACGCAGCACGAAGTCGAGCTCGTTCTCGTCCTCGGCGAGCATGCCATAACGCTTGAGGCGACGCAGAAGAGCCGAACCCTCGAACAGACGCTTGGGGTCTTTCGGGTCCAGCGTCAGCAGCTCACGAGCGGCCTTACGCAGCTTGGACAGCGCGTACTGCACACGCCAGATCTCACGCTTGCAGCGGAGACCATACTCGCCCAGCAGCTTCAGCTCCTGGTCAAGACGCTCCTTCTCGAAGGCACGCGAAGGCGTACGGTACGTCTTACGGTAGTTGCGGTGGCGCGAAATCTTCGGCATGTTGGTTGACTTCTTTTTCAGGCGAATGCGATGGGAGTGGAGCCGTCGGGGCCTAATGCGCCAAGAGCTCCTGCACCAGCCAACCACCAATACTCATCCGCCAATCATGTCGCGAGGTGGATTACCGGTTAGAACCGGTCCTTCCTGTAGAATAATTACCGGTATATCGGGTTTTCTCGGGAAAACCTTCCGGCCCACCACCAGAGTCCTACCCGGGAGTTACGAGTTTAGAATATTTCTATCTGGAACTGGTACATATAGGTACGTTACATGCAACCGATTTTGGCATACCAATTCACTTCATTACATAAGCCGGTGCGACAAGTCGCGCTTTATTTATTTATATTGTCATGCTTGACATTAAAGCTGAGCGAAATCAAACGCATGTGCAACAGTCGATGAGTAATGACCATTTATCAGGGCGGGGCGAAATGGAAATGCAACCTGACCTTTTTAGAATGATTAAGCTCTTGATCTACTTTCAGAAGGTCGACGTTGAATAAACGTTACATGTATTGTACGTTTCATAAATTTTGCACCCTCTGTTCGTCGATCTAATCGTTTTGACTACAGACTACGACGGTGAAATCCGCCACCCTCTAAAAGCCATCCTCCATAGTAGTTCTTTTTTTGTTTTCGCGACAGGAAAATCCGTCGCACATTTTTATTGGTAGATAAAACGAATTAATTAGCAAAAAGCAAAGTTGAAAACCTCAACGTCTAGTGGCTGGCAGGCCGCTGTACTGTTGGGCGGTAGCTGGCAAACCAGGGCCGACGTTGTCTCGACAACAACATCAAGTCCTTCTTTTGAAACATGTGCGTCGAAGTTATCGAGTATAAGCACTGATAGTGCCTCGATCTCGAACTTGAGCAGCTCTCGTACATATATCGCCCACACTTTGGCATCCATAAACTGCTCTCCTGCACTGAGTATACATGACCAACCGGATGTGTTAGTAGCTCCACGACTATCACACTATTTAATAAAGCAATTATATAAAATCAGCAAAATCAAAAGATATTACCGTGCTGCAAACCGCTGACATAGTCTCATAAACGCACTTAGACCCTTCTCACCGCTTTCCTTACCAGCAAGATACGTTTGAAGCCATCGCGTTTGCTGCTCTTTGAAATATTGAATCAGTAAATCTGTACAAATACTAAGCAACAAGCGGTTTTAGGTCACAATGTAAAAAGTAAATTAATAAGAAGGCGGTTTACCCATTCTTCTCGTCGCACATCCTTCATAAAGGTTACCAAATCGTGAGAGAAGTGTATTAACGGCGCTGCACTCTGGCTCTTCAAGGTTTTGCTGGTTTGGGCACCCGCAAAGTCTTGGATGTTCTCTTTATCGTCTAGCCAGTCGCGAAGAGTCGTGCGAGGGATATTTAGTCTCTTTGATGCGGCTTGGCAGCTTCCTAACGCCTCAGCAGTCGCGATTGCTCCGCGCTTGGTTAGAATTGTATAGGAGCGCTGAGGCGCCCTTTCCAGAGTGATAGAAATTCTAACTATATGTGATATGCTACCCGTAGGAACCAGTCGATTCAATTTACTCTATCATTGGCTAAAATAAAAACTTGTTCAAATCTTTTATTTTTGAACTTCAAGTGTTCGTGGCGGATTTGTATGGTATGGCGGATTTCACCGTCGTTGTCTGTATTTTTGGAAGTCGTTGAGAAGAAAAAGAACATATCGCTTTCCAAAGGCCATTTAGTCTTTATCTCAGCGGACGGGCACCGTCCAGCCCAAAATGGCCACAACGCCGCCTTCGCTGCCCCAGACATGTGATGCTAAGGTAGCTATCAAGATTGGGGAGCCACAGACAGACTGCCGGATAACCCACTCTTCGTTCGAGGCTTCGTTTTCAGTTGCTGTGCTTCGCGAACGAATCAAGCGACTTATTTCTAACGAGTCTGGCACCACATGGGATGCTGAAAGCGGGCTCTACGTTAAAGCATCGGTGAACGCTCGTCGGCGTGACTACAAACGCGTCCCAGAAGAAGAAGGATCATTCTACCAGTTCTTTTCGTCTATTTGGTCGTATCCAAAGCGTCAAGACCACCGTTTCTATTTTGTTTTTGTACGCAACTAGAGTAAAAAAAACTAATCCAATTCACCGAGCTACAGCGGCCAGAATGGCCCGCTCTACACGGAGCATTTCAGAGCACTTGCAAACTACAAACGGATCGCCACTGAGGCCTGCATCACTAGACTATTGGGCAGCTGTTCAAGCGCGACAGCCTGACGACGCACCTGTACTTCGCCCAGACAGCGAGACATTTCGACAATTTCGATACATTGACGCACAAGCGCAGCGACACCAACATGAATTTGCTACTAGTGTTGCAACGCGTGAAATGCGTTGCATACACGTACGCCTGAATGGCGTACTGGTTCTAATTGACCTAGACATTCAGGAGGTACGCCGAGCGCTTAAGCTACCAGGGTACGACCTTTGCCCTCCCAATCGAGAGCGTGTGGTACCGCCTACTGCAGAGCCACATGATCTTCCTGACATCGACCACGCAGAGAGCGATGATGGTCGAGATGCTAATGATGAGGTAGACGTGGGGCAAGACGCTTAGAAAAAGAGAAAAAACGAGAGCATTCCCGTAAACAAAATTGTCATTTAGCTAGTTTATATCCGCTCTTTCGATGAATACATTTTCAACTAAACCTGCGGCGTATCCACAGTTACGGTATAAGTTTTTCCCTACGGACTCATTTGCCCTAGTGCACTCCTTAAGTGCCACATTCATTACTGCTTCTGGATTAACCCGAAAAGCCATATTGGTGTGGTTGATGATTCGTTTCTTTTGCAAGGAAAATGAAACTTCAATAGGGTTCAACTGTGGGCAATAAGGTGGAAGGAAGAAAAGCAGAGCACCAGTGGAGTGCACTAGTTCTTCTAGCTCGCGATACATATGTCTCTTAGCATTGTCAAGAATGACAATGCTTCGAGGCAACGGCCACGGATTTAAAAAAGGCGCAATATGATCACGGAAAGCTTGGTGAAATTCCTTTTGTGAAAATGTTCCTCTTGTCATCTTCCATGCAAAAAAAATCAGTAGTGTCCATAGCTGCCGAAACGCGTTCTCCTCGGGCAAACGGAAGGTCTACCACAGCTGGCATACCTCTTGGTGACCATGCATGACGACGCATGCAATCTCGACCGGCTTTAGCAGTCTCATCAATGAATATGAGCTGCTCCGGACCGGAATACAACGGTAGTAACTTGTTATAGTACACGGCGATCTCAGCTGGGGCTGCCTCCCGGGCTCTTTTGCTCAGAATCTTGCGAGTAAGATGGAGATCAAACCGGAGAGCACGGCAGATCGTTGCCTCCGACGTATTGCGTAGTGTCGGGAAGCGTTCCTTGAGAGCGTTGCGCAATTCATCGATATAGAAGCATGGGTGGGTTTCAGCATACTCACCGACGAAAGCACAAACGTTGTGTGGCCATCTTGACTTCTTTTGCTTTTTCCAGTACCCTCGACAGTTCCCCGACTCACAAACCATCCATATCATCGCTGTATAGACCGTTTTGATACACCCAGAACGCTAGCCACGACTTCTACTTCGATGTCGTAAACCTGCACCAAGGTGACTGCACGCCAACGGAGGTCGCTCGACTTGGTCATTGTCCGTCAGCAATTTCCAGAACTGAAACAAAAGTGCTGACGATTTGTCAGAACGAATGGCACACACGCTAAGTGCCATTCGTTCTGAATGCTATCAACTCGTTCTCTAGCTTGTCAATCCTGTTAAATATGCTAGTCGCTCATCGATAACTCGTTGTGCACAAGTCAATAAGTCGTCATGAAAAGACTGGGCTGTGCCAAAATGCAAGAAACGTACAATATTACTAAAAGGCTTCCTGAAAAAACGTACATACACAGCCGGGATTTCGCGGGAAAGCTCTGAACTTTATCGCTACTGTTCTTTTCAAAAAAATTAATATTACGTTTGAGGAGATCAAGGAGGCAAGCTCACCAACTTACAACGTGTTTTTTTTTCTTGAAGGGCAATGAAAAAGTCGTCCTCTCAGGTCCAGCCTTACACTTGCAAAAACTTTCTTGGAAGAGAAATTTTCAAACGATAAAATGTATTGTTGCTCTTTTGAAGTCAACAGTTTTCCTACCAGTAAGTGGAATTATTAACTCGGCTGACCTACGTGGAATTTTTATTAGTCTGCCACTGGAAGAGCTGGACATAAGTGTAGGAATAAAGTTCAATACTCACTAAATGACTTTGGCCCATCGCCCTGCGTGTAGTCAATTCACTAAAGACCCACAAGTGCTTACCTAATCCTAGGCTGTGCCCTTTAGTATTTCAGACTATTAATAGCGCTGCTGCGAGAAGTGGAGTGATTCGTGCAGAGCACTATCGTAAATACATAATACAAATCCTTTCCGACACTGAGGAAGTCATGGCTTATAATAGAGTGCCACCGTTGTGGCAGATTTATCTTACCCCCCTAGTGGAGTCTGACGTGTGTCTGTCCGTACGTCCGTCCGTAACGGGCTAGGGTTAATAAAACTCACGCTAATACGCGCGTTCTACTGGCTGCCGAGCGCAGCGAAAGGCGGCATCGATTCGCTAAAATCGCATTATGTGGTGTACACCCTGTATGTGGTCTACACATCGTACTTCAAGGCACCGTTCAAATTTCATTTTGCCCCCCATTTTTAACGCTTGGAGCGCCACCTCACGCAAAGGGCGCTGCGTGTGTGCGGGTTAATTTGCATTGGTAGGCTTCGCCCGACGTGCACACCGGTACTATTATATCGTCGTAGGCGCTGTTGATTTTTTTTTAGGCCCTGGCGACACCACTGGATCGCATTTTAGCAAAGTAGTAATTCAATACTTCGAAATACTTAGTTTAATACTTAAAAAAATATTACTAATTTAATAAAAACGTTTCTAATAAAACATTTCTCCAATGGAACGTTTACCTCCCATGTGCTCGACGTGCCAGGCGGTCATTGTGCACCCCCCGCTCGAGCCAGACGGTCTAGGGCTGCCGCTCCAGCTGTGCGCCTGTTGCGAACAATTCTTAGCATGGGATCCATTCGCACAGGGCGAGGCTCGAGCGGGTGCCCGCAGGTGCATCGCGTGCGCCTCTGGTCCATACAGCCAGGCGTTTTGGCACCGCCCACGCACACCAGAACCGAAGCCAGCCACTGATTCGCGCCAACAAAGCCTGGCCTTAGCTGCCGCCGCTATGGGCCCCCCACAACCGCCGCGGCGCGTTGTCCAGGAGCGCATTAATCGCCGCCGTCGTCGCTGGAAACTTCGCCAGCGCAACAAACATCCGCGTAATCACCAGAAAAACTGACTGGCTAAAAATAAACGTTTTCCATTGGTCACAATTACTTTCGTGTTTAGGTGCGTTGTATGGGAGCTTAGGACAGGGCGTGAGCCTAGGAGAAGGTGCGAGCTTATCGAACTGGATTTGTAGGGCAGTACGAAACAGTATGTACGATGGAGGGGAAACAAATATGGACACAGAGCTACAAAGCACGGAAGCGGGCCGATGCAATTAACATGTAAATCTATGAAAGCACTAAGAGTCACGGACTCTGTTAGACTCTCTACCTAAAACCGGGCTAGGACACGTAGCTGCTACAGAGCACGGAAATTACCTACGATACAACACGTAGACCACGAAGCACGGTAAAATACGAAGCACAAACGGCAGATCTACCGGGACACCACAAGATAACTAGATAGTATGGTCTGGGCCACTATGCCATGGGAGAACGCAGCCGCGGAGCTATAGTCAGAAAATCGTCGAGCCGCGGAGATCGATACCAGTGTTGAACCTGAGCTTACCGAGCCACGGAGGACAGAAGTACATTATAACTCAACTGCACGGACGGTGGCCCAGCCACAAATTACACGGGGGGGGGGGCTTGGGGTGACGATTGTACACCGTGGAGCACGATGCCATTGTAGAACACAATAACGCGGGCAGCGCAGATGCACTACGCGGGCACAATACCATATACAGCAAAACCACACCGCGATTGCACGATATCGTGATAACGCGGTCGATGGAGCCTCACCTGGAGAGCACGATACACGGGGCGACGGAGCAACACGACTGCATGCAGTCACCAAACCACGGAATAGCACACTTCGGCTAGGAGCACGGCGATGAAGGCCAACGACCACGAAATAGTATCTTACACGAAGCCAGTGCAACCCACATTAAACGTTTGAGAACAGAGAAAAAGTTAGCATTA